GAAAGGGAGGGGGCCTGAACAATCCCTGAGGGGTAGTAGAACAGCAGATGGAACACTGAGAAGTGATCTCCTTGAGGATAGATTTCCATGATGGAAAGGAAATGAGAGGTTCTAAGAAGTGGGCTAGCGGCTTGTAACCTACATGGAAGAGGTTGTGAAATGATGACAGAATAGAATGGGCCTGTGAGACTGGAAGGAGATATTTTCCTAGGTCTAAGAACCATTTACCTTGTGTGGGAAGAGATTAATGTGGAAGTTTCAGCGGGGGAGTAGGTGGGAGTGGCTGATGTGAAGGAGGAAAACTGCCGTGAGGGATAGAAGTTGGAACGCTAGCGGTTTTCTTAGCTAACTTATCAGCATAAGCATTGTCCTGAGCAATGGTTGGGGGAAGAAAATCGATTTTGGAAGTTATGAGAACTGTAGAGAGTTGAGCATAGTTTGTGATTTTTAGGGCCTCTAACAGTATTAAAGCGGTGGCAGCCGCTGCGCGCAGACATGAAAGCTGGGCTAAAACAGTAAGGTTGTTTGGACAGAAAGGCTACAGGACGCGGTCCCGGCTCTTGTGTAAGAATTATGTCTGCGCTAACCATGCCTAGGAAGGAAAGCAGTTGTTGTTTTGTAGAAGGGATTGGGGTTTGGGAGATTAGCCGGACACAATCAGCAGGGAGAGCACATGTGTGTTTATGAGAATTATGCCAAGATAGGTAACAGATGAGAAAAAATTTGGGCTTGACTGAAGTAATGGGGGCTGTCCGTGAGGCCTTGCAGCAGTACAGCCCAGGTAATTTGCTGAGCCTGATGGGTGTCAGGGTCAGTCCAAGTGAAAGCGAAGAGAGGCTGGGATGAAGGGTGCAAAGGAATAGTACAGAAAGTATGTTTGAGATCCAGAACAGAATAATGGGTTGTGGAGGGAGGTATTGAGGAGAGGAGAGTATATGGCTTTGGCACCATGGGGTGAATAGGCAAGATAATTTGGTTGATAAGGCGCAGAGATCTTGAATTAACCTGTAAGGCTTGTCTGGTTTTAGGACAGGTAAAATGGGGGAATTGTAAGGGGAGTTTACAGGCTTTAAAAGGCCTTGTTGTAGCAGACAAGTGATAATAGGCTTTAATCCTTTTAAAGTGTGCTTTGGGGATGGGATATTGGCGTTGAGTGGGGTAAGGGTGATTAGGTTTTAATGAGATGGTAAGGGATGCATGATCAGTCGCCAAGGAGAGGTATCCTATACTTGTGGGTTAAGGTGGGGGGATACTAGGGGAGGAGGTGAAGGAGGCTTTGAACTAGGGGGAAAAGGGCAGCAATGAGGTGTGGCTGTAGCCTAGGAATAGTCAGGGAAGCAGATAATTTAGTTTAAATGTCTTGGCCTAAGAAGGGAACTGGGCAGGTGGGGATAACTAAAAGGAGTGCTTAAAAGAATGTTGTCCAAGTTGGCACCAGAGTTGGGGAGTTTTAAGAGGTTTAGAAGCCTGGCCGTCAATACCCACAACAGTTTTGGAGGCAAGGGAAACAGGCCCTTGAAAAGAAGGTAATGTGGAGTGGGTAGCCTCCATATTGATTAAGAAGGGGACGGACTTACTCTCCACTGTAAGAGTTACCCAGAATGTCTGTGATGGTCCAGGAAGCTGTGGTTCAGGCGTTTGGAGTTATGTGCTGGAGATGTGGCTGGGGTTTGTCTCACAGTGGAGGCAAGGAATTGCAACTCAGAAATAAGTTGCTACTTGGCTGCCTCTACTCTATTATTGTACACCTTGAAGGCAAGGTTCATTAAGTCCTCTTGTAGGGTTTAAGAGCCAGAATTTAATTTTTGGAGCTTTATTTAATGTCAGGAGCAGACTGGGTAATAAAATAAAATGCATATTGAGAATAAGACCGCTTTCTGACCTTTCAGGGTCTAGGGCTGAAAAGCGTCTCAGGGTTGCTGCTAAACGGGCCATGAACTGGGCTGGGTTTTTCATATTTGATGAAAAAGAGCCTAAAGGCTAACTGATTTGGGAGAGGTCAGATTAAGAAAAAGGAACATTAACCTTTACTATGCCTTTAGCTCTAGCCACTTTTTAAAGAGGAAATTCCTGAGCAGGTGGGGGAGGCCTAGTCGAGGAACTAAACTATAAGCCAGACTGGGTGTGAGGAGGGGAGGTGGTAAAAGGATTATAGGGTGGGGGAGCAGAGACTGAGGAAAAATTGGGACCTAGCTTGGTCTGGCAAGGAGGGAAGAGAGGTCAGAAGGGTCTGTAGAAAAGGAAGACTGGAAAGCCTCAGTGATGCTTGGGGTTGGGACTGAGGGGACAGCCGGGAGGGAAGGAAGGAAGATTTGGGACAAGTTGCATTGGGAACAGAGACTAGGGAGGGACTGATGTGTAAAAGAATGCCTGGACGTCAGGCACCTCAGACTGTTTGCCCATTTTACAACAAGAATTATTTAGATCTTGTAGGATGGAAAAATCTAAAGTGCCGTTTTCTGGCTATTTGAAACTACTGTCGAGTTTGTATTGGAGTTAAGCAGCATTGTAGAAGAAAATAAGGCATTTAGGTTTTAGATCAGGCGTGAGTTGAAGAGGTTTTAAGTTCTTGAGAACACAGGCTAAGGGAGAAGGAGGAATGGAGGGTGGAAGATTGTCCACAGTGAAGGAGGCAAGCCCAGAGAAAAGAGAGTAGATACACAGAGAGTTTACAAATGCCATGAAAACATCAGGAAGTTACCCTATATGGTCTAAAAAGGGGAGGAACCCTCAGTTCCAGGGAATTTCCCACCCTTTCCCAGAAAACTCATGAATAATGCACCCCTCGTGTAGCACATAATCAAGAAATAATTATAAAAGTAGGTAATCAACAGCCCATGCATCTGCTCTGTCTATGGAGTAGCCATTCGTTATTCCTCTACTTTCTTAAGAAACTTACTTTCACTTTACGGATTCGCCTTGAATTCTTTCTTTTTCCAGATCCAAGAACTCTCTCTTGGGGTCTGGATTGGGACTCCTTTGGGGTAACATCTGGACCAAGAAACTCTTTCAATGAGGGATTTGGGAACAAAGTTCTTAGTGTCTCTAGAGACAGGAAGTTGGTTCCCTCCCTCCCCAGTTATCCCACAGCTGAGAGGGAGCAGGATTCCAGAAGGCAGGATGAGGGAGCAGCCCAGGAGCCCCACATCGCCAGGAGGAAGCCCTTCCTTCTCCTCTGGTAGTAGGGTGGGACTCTGCTTCTTCAGCTCCCCTGCTTCTCTCTCCCCTTCCTGCCTCCTTTACTCCCGGTTCCCATCCCAGTCTGTCAGACAGGAAGCAAGGCTTACCCACAGGTCTTTTTGGCTCCTTGTTCTATCTGAACATCTAATATAAATGTTCCTAAAATTTTCTATTCCTTTTGGAGCAATCTGGGTCAGTTTGGAGGTTTTCTGGCTAAGGCATTGGATGAATCTACACATTGGCCTTTCTGTGCTTCTGCTCTGGCTGGTTCAGAAGTCTGCTTCGGAGCGGGTTTATTGCCAAACAGAATGGAATCCTTCTCCTGGGGCTTTTTTCTTGGCATCCATTGAAATGTAAATGCTGCTATCCTCATGTTTTCCAAATTGAGTGTCACAGAACACAAATATCTAATGGGATGCTAATAGAAGTTCTGCAAAGAAAAAAAAAAGTATTCTGAAGTTAAATGAGTTTGGAAAACCCCACATCCCCGGAGAATTATCATGCATATTAGCACATTAAGAACCTGAGGCATTCTTTAGTGAATGATTCCATTATTTTGTGTAGCCAGAACTTGTCAAACCTATTTGATCACAGAACCTTCTTTTCTGATTAATACTTATTAACATTTTGCAGGACACTAGTATTCTGTTTTTCTCAGTTTGGGAGACACAGGAAGATTGCTTTCTCATGGTTCTTTTCCTAATCCCCTACTTAGACAGTCAAAAGAAGACTTTTTTGTTATTGTTGCTGCTGTTTAGTTATTGTCTTGTAATTCAACACAATATAATAATATTAAGGTTCAGTTTTACTAGTGAGACTCAAACTGCAGATCTATTGCCAAACCTCTGCAGGTCTCCTAAAGGTCCCAGTCACTTTGAGCAGCTACTCCCTGGCCGTTCCTTTCATAGCATGCTCTCTGAAATTGGCCTGGGAAGATTCCTCTTCAGATTTCATATCAGTTTTCATTAGCTTTCTACTTCTTTCTCGTTCCCACCCTGGAAATTGTGATGGCTGTAGGCTTTTGTATGACTATCTTCACGGCCCATTTTTTATTCATTTATACTGATATTTCCTCCTTTATCCTCACAGAAACAGGTTTGACTTGTAAACAAATACTGTTACCAGAAAGGGGTCCTGATCCAGACCCCAAGAGAGTTCTTGGATCTCACACTAGAAAGAATTCAAGGTGAATCCACAGAGTAAATTGAAAGCAAGTTTATTAAAAAAGTAAAGGAATGAAAGAAAGGCTACTCCATAGGCAGAGCAGCAGCATGGGCTGCTCTTATGCTTATTTCTTGATTATATGCTAAACGAGGGGTGGATTATTCATGAGTTTTCTGGGAAAGGAGTGGGGGGCAATTCCCGGAATTGAGGGATCCTCCCCATTGTAGAGCGTGTAGGGTAACTTTCAGATGTTGCCGTGGCATTTGTACACTGTCATGGCACTGGTGGGAATGTCTTTTACCATGCTAATATATTATAATGAGTGTATAATAAACAGTGAGGATGACCAGAGGTCTCTTTCTTTGCCTTCTTGGTTTTGGTGAGATTTGGCCAGTTCCTTTACCGCAAGCTGTTTTATCAGCAAGGTCTTTGTGACCTGTATCTTGTGCCAACCTCCTATCTCAAGGTTGCACAGAATGTCAGCAGCAGGACTTGTCAATAGCTTGGAATTTATGTCAATCAACGCTTTATCTTGTGTCAAGAATATCTGGGCCGGTGCAATGTAAAAACACTCAGGGACAGAGATGCAACACAACTCTTGCCCCTTCCTTCTGTCCTGTCTGAACACATCTTCACAAAATAGGCTTCTCCAAATATTGGAAATAATGCTTTATTCAGATTAGAACACATATCCTGACATGAATTCTGAGGCTGTCATGTGTAAATTCATGGCTTTTGCTGTAAATTGGGCATGAGGACATCCTTTTCCTCTGGGTTCTAAGAAATTCGTAAGTTAGAGATAAACAGAGTCACAGCAGTTGCTTCATCATTGCCTGGAGCAAATTCAAATTTATTGAAACCTTTAGGGCTTCTAGTAACTTGTAAGATAATTTAGCTACTCAGACCTGAAGTCCACTCAGGTCTCCTACTCCTACTTCAAGTTAGCTGTTGGGACCTGCCTGTGGGGACAGCTGTGTCTGCAATGCAGTCACAGTCCATTTATCTGGCCAGGTGGGGGAGCACAGGGCTGCATCCCTGGATAGGACAGATGGAAGGTTGCTTAAAGGGGCTGGAGCTGCATGATTGTGCTTATTCCAGAAGTAGCAGAGAGTCCCACGGCTCAACATTCCAGAGCATATGTCAAGAGACCAGGGATTCTGAACCCACTAAGAAACAGTACTGTCATGGCAGTTGTTAAAATGCTAAAATATTCCTAGAGTGGTTTATTAAGGTCTGTTACCCCCAGGTTTCACCATGATCCAGAAACTAAGGGCTTAATTAAAGCCAGGTCAGGCAGGGGCTTCTAGGGTCTGATGATCTCTAAGGCTACCAAGAACCTCACACTTCAATTCACTTCTGACTGCAGAGAGGGTTTACGGACACCTTCTTCTACGTTTCTAACTCAACCTGTTGAGGAAGGACTTCCTGCCAATCTTCTTCTAGAATATTCTCCAACAATGCCCCAGCTTTTTGCCTGTTTCTCCACACCTTATGTTTTGTTCCTGGAGCACCTGAGTCTTCTGATTGTGGAACATTGGCCATATTGCATCCCTAGTCACTGCTGGTTCCAGTTAACTCCACAGAGAACAGCCCAAAGAGCGCCCCTCACCCACATTCTTTCTTTTTTCCCATCTCCCTAGGCCATAGGGAACTTCTGGGGAACATCTATGGAGGTCCCAGCATGCTAGCCCTAGGCCCTGCCTTTCAACCCTTGCCTGGTAGAGAGGACAGGGGTCCCAGTAGGGAAGAATGTGCTCCTGGCAATAGACAAATGCCTGGGGTTCACCTGGCCCACAGGCCACGGCTGTCTACCAGGGGCCAGTGTTAACTGGAGCTGCCTTGCTTAGCCATTCATAGAAATAGTCACCCCTGCAGGATGCTAGCTGTTATGAGCCAGGGAAATACAAAGAGCTCAGATGGCACAGGTGGATAATATTTTCAAGGTTACCTTTGGTGCAGTACATATCAGATGCTTGCCTGCCCCAGGGACTAGTGCCCAATCCCTTAAAGAGGAGGAGATATTCACCAGATTTCCACAGGGAACAGCAGAAATTCATGGGGCACTTAGGGAACTGTGAGTCGTAAAACAAATTGTCAGATTGTGGGGTGCATAAGGAGGAGTGCAGAACAGAGAAGATGAAGGTAGTAGACAAAATCCTCACGTGAGGGGCCTTGCCTGATGTTCTCAGGGGTTTTCATTGTTTATTGCAGCTCAGGAGTTGTGTAGCTAGGAAAGGTTTAATTCAGACGATTGACACATGAGATATGTGTTTTGGAAAAAATCACCTTGTTGCAGAAACTAAAAGAAGGATACAGTAGGCATTGCAGTAACAATCTACACACACACACACACACACACACACACACACACACACATTCAAAGGTGATGAGGCCCGTGGGGCATGGTAAGGGGGTGCCACATTTCCAGATAAATTTAGTGAGTAGAATCAACATACCTAAAAGCAGGTAAACTGCATGGATGTGGAGTAAAAGGGTAAAGAAGGCGTTTAAGACTCTTCTGGGCCCTGATTTAAGCAGCTGGAGTGATGTGCCATTCAAAGAAACAAGAACTATGCTCACATAGTTCTTGTGAAGTTCTACAGGACTATGACGTTTTGGGTGCAAACCAATTCAGCATGAAGTGCTTAGGGGCCTCCAGGTTTTCTCATCCTTTTAGGAATATGGAGCTAGAGTTCAAGACATTGGAGCTGGAGATGGAGGTTGGAGAACATTCAGTACAGGAGGCACTTAAAACTGATCACAGCAAGATTCCTCGGAGAGCACATGGAGAGAGGCCGGAGTGCTGGAATTACATAGAGTGCAGTTACGGGTTTCACATGACCCCTAGAGACTTAACATATCTCACCTGTAGCTCTGCCTCCTAAAGTAATTATCTAGTAGCGCTAACTGCTTACAGCTGGAGATACTATTGTACCCACCAGGTCGACTCCTCCAGTGAAATATTAACACATAAAGGCTAGTCGAGCATTCAGATCTCTTAATTATTTCATAGAGCCATGCTTCCACCTCCCCAGGATCTGTATGTGTTCTGGTCCTGGTTTTTGGAACATTCCAGCCATCCCCATTTAGCTTAAACCCTCCTAGTGTTTCCTCTCCATTCAAAGCTCAACTCCAGCTCTCTCCTTCCCAGCCTAGGTCATTTTCCTTTCCTTCACAGTGCTCTTCCTAAATTGTAGGTTTTCCTTATTTTTTTTTTTGTTGGAGAACAAAACAAAGTAGTAAAAGTGATGGATTAAACTCCCCTTTACCAGCTGCTAGCGATAGTAGTCGTCAACTTGTTGCAGATTTTGATCTGTGTCCCTACTTCATTTGGTGTGAACATTTTAAAACATATTACATCAATTCCTGTCCCTTCTCCTCTAGAACTTCATTGTACACTATATGTTTCTAAGAAACATCTATAATCTCTATTGTGACATCACTTCCTAACAAAATTAACAAAATATGGAGTGCCTAGTCCCTATTTAATGTCATCTGACTGCTTTGAATGTCTATTTATAGCTGGTTTGCTCAAATCAGGATCCAAACCGGTGCATCTAGTTGTTAAAATCCCTTATGTTTCTTTTATTTTATGTTTCAACGCTCTTTTTTATATTTTGTTTTTTTTTAGAAAAACCAAATTATTTTTCTGATAGACTTGATCACTTCCTTATGATACTTTTAAAAATCTGTTTCAAATGTTTAGGCAAAACTGATTCTGAAACATTTCCCATTGCATCTGATCATCCAGCTCATAGTATTTGGTTGATCCACTTTTTGAGATTATTGAGTTCAGGTGGTATCAGTTTGATCTGTTCTTTTAAAAGTGTCTCATCAAACTTTAGTTGGTGGTTTTTATATCCAATGAAATTGCTGCCCAGAGCCAGATTGTCATTAGAGGTGACAAAAATCATTTCCTAATCCTATCAATACTTCTATGTTTATTAACTATAATTTTTCTTTTTTTTTTTTTTTTTTTTTTTTCCTGAGACAGAGTCTCGCTCTGTCACCCAGGCTGGAGTGCAGTGGCGCAATCTCGGCTCACCGCAAGCTCCGCCTCCTGGGTTCATGCCATTCTCCTGCCTCAGCCTCCTGAGTAGCTGGGATTACAGGCGCCCACCACCATGCCCGGCTAATTTTTTGTATTTTTAGTAGAGACGGGGTTTCACCGTGTTGACCAGGATGGTCTCGATCTCCTGACCTCATGGTCCTCCCGCCTCGGCCTCCCAAAGTGCTGGGATTACAGGCGTGAGCCACCGCACCCGGCCAGGTATAATTTTTCTATAAGAAAAACATCCTTATATAAAAGCTGATTATACTAAAAATAGCTTGTATCAGAAAGACAGATTAAATACTCAAGTCTTTCTCTTTTTAAGTTTTCTGAATAATGACTTGTTACCCTAACAACCTGCAACAGTGACCATTTTTAATGGTCACGTTGTCTTAACTTCAGTCACTTGTAGTCAGCGTTTCTATATTTTGCTCTGTTTGCTCTTCGACATTATTCCATTGATAATTCATTGTTTCCTTGCTTTGAAAAACTATGATGTTCAGGATCATCTTTTATTTGCCTTAGACAAGAAATTAGAGATTCCTTCAAATATCTCTCATCCCTTTTAAAGGAAAATGTTATTTAGAGACCATTATCTAAGTGCTAGGAGTGTTTGTTGCATTGTCATTTCTTCTATCTCTTTTTAGTACATGTTTTAATAGCAAAAACTTTATGAGCTCATACCAGTTCTTCCAATTCATTTTTAAGCTTATTAATTCTTTGCTTTTGTATTTTTATCTATTTTCTATTGTCTGATAAATCTTTATTTCTCCCAGTATTAGTAAATTATGTATTTGTTTTCTCTTACAATAGTCATTTCAAGATCACAATACTACTATTCCTGAAAAAATAAAGACTACTGAATGCAATTTCAGATTTACATACCTTGTGTCCTTCAGTGTGTATTTTATCAGAACAAAAACATTTTTATATAACTGCAATTCGATTATCAACTTTTTAAATCAGTTCTGTATCTAGTTTTCAGCTCATATTAAAATTTCGATAATATTCTTTTAGAGCTATTTCTCTCATTGGAAGCATAAAAAAAGCACTTGATGAAATTCAACACCTACCCTTGATAAAACCTCTCAAAAATTTGGAACAGAAGGGAACTTTCTCCACTTAATACATGCCATATTTGAAAAACCTACAGTTAACATTATACTTTTTGGTGACTCATTAAATAATTTCACTCAAAATTTTTCTGGCAAAATGTATCAAATGACAAGGCTATTCACTTCAGCATTTTTGTTGTTATAGCAAACACTGAGAACAAATTTAAAAATTATTTATAAAGAGAAGATTGTGGAATACCAATGGCCAACACAGTGGCACACTCCCTAGGTACAAAAAGTAATGAGAAAAAATGCTATAGGAGATCCAATATCTGGCTACTTCTGGTAATCCTACAGTCTTTTCAAGTATTTATTAAAATTTTTATCCATAAATTGTAGGATTTTGTGGCAAGATGTTAGTTCCATCTTTATATTCCATTTTCTCTAGTGAGACTCCTCCATTAAGCTGTTAAAGTGCTAATAGGTTTCTCCAGACATTGCTATTATTAACAAATTAACATGAGCAACACTTAAGAAGGAGGAGTGGGAGGGTTAATGTGGGGAATCTTCTCCCTTCATATTTCTTTTATGATGCACATTTTGAAGAAAAGAATAGATTTCAATTTTATGAAATATTAATCGAACATCTTTCCCTCCTACTCACCAGCATCAAAGTTATTAATAAAATGTTCAAGAATAAGGAAGTAGGTGCTGCAGTTGCAATTCACTGTTATATCTGAACAGAAGAAAGAGTGTCAAGTGATAGGCAAACTTTACAGAAAAAATTGAGCAGGCGGTTTCAAAAGTATGGATGGTCTATCAAGACAGAAACAGAATGAAACAGAATGAAAGTAAACATAAAAAAATCGTGTGCAAATTAATAGAAGATTGTAAATATTCAAATTTAAAATACCAACTGCAATTTCTTGTACTAGATTAACTAGAAGGAAACCAAAGTAAAAAGATAAATTTGGTCTAATAAATAGAATTTTACATGTAAATATTACTGGTTGTGTTGGGAACGGGGAAATGATTATTCTGCTGGCTATTTTTCAGGTGTCTTACATGCACACGTTTCTAAATAAATCTCAGTCCAGCCAAACAGATATGGTAGCCATTTTACAGACATAGTATTAAAATCTAGAGAATTTAAATAAGTTGCCCAAATTCAAAGGATTGTTAAGTATCAGTACCAAGACTCTAACTTAACATTTTATTGTTTGATTGTATCATACTTACGGATAAAGCTATGGTTCATGGGTATTTGAGTTATTTCTACTTTTTTGTTATTATAATATGTTGCCAGGAACATAGCAAACATATGTACTAATTTAGGGGGGACCCTAACACAGAAGTGGAATTGGTGATAATTAAGAAAATAAATATTCACTTTAATAGATGTTCCCAAACCTTTATGCAAAGCAGCTAAAGTATTACACTCCTTCTATCAGAGCATGAGGGTTCCAGTTGCTCCACATTCTAGAGAATGTTTGATGTTTTTGTCTTTTTTCTATTTAACAATCCTGGGTTTTTTTCATTTAGTTCTTACACAATATTAACTTTCATTATTGTCATGACAAATAAGGTCAATAAGTTATTGGTCATTTAATATTCTTTTTCATGAAGTGTCTGTTTAATATTATTCACATTTATTATTTATTACTATCCTCTTTTTAAATTAATGGTAGGATTCATATGTATATTCTGGGTGCATGTTCTTTCGTGAATAAATGTATTGCAGATATCTTCTCACAGAAGATAACTTCTGTGGTAGGAAGTATTAAGAGTGCCTTATCACTCTTTTATGAGTGTCTTTTTGTCATTGTTGTTGTATTAAATTACTATAGTTGTATGAAGAATAGGTGCTGAGTAAATTTTAAATGAGATGTATGTGAAGGAAAAACAATTGTCAACTCCAAAAATCAACAGTGTAATTTTTAAAATTCTGTGCAAAGGAATATTTATATCAGTTACTACATTGGAGACCATGAATGGAGGCTAATATCAGGAGCCTTTGTTCTTATTTATGCACAAATCTTAGCTTTTCTTTGTTTTTGTTGTTGCTTACTATCATTACCAAGGGTTTTTTTGTTTGGTTTGTTTTTTTACTTTTATGTTAGGTTCAGAGGGTCACTTGCAGGTTTGTTACATAGGTAAATTTCATGTTGCTGAGGTTTAGTGTACAGTTGATCCCATCATCCAGTAGTGAGCATAATACCCACAATACGTGATAGTTTTTCAACCTACATCCCCATCCCACCTTCATCCCTCTGGTAGTCCCTAGTGTTTTATGGTTGCCAGTTTTATGTTCATGTTTACCTAAAGTTTAGCTTCTGCTTGTAAGTAAGAACAGGTATTTGGATTTCTGTCCCTGAGTTAATTCACTTAGGATAGTCACTTCCAGCTCCATCCATATTGCTGCAAAAGACTTGACTTCATTCCTTTTTATGGCTGTGTAGTATTTCCTGGTGTATATGTATCACGTTTTCTTTATTCAGTCTACTGTTGATGGACATTTAGGTTGATTCTTTGTTTTTGTTATTGTGAGTAGTGCTGTGATAAACACGAGTGTGTGTGTCTTTTTTTTTTTTTTTTTTGGCAGAATGATTCATTTTTTTCTGTGAGTATATACCCAGTAGTAGGATTGCTGGGTCTAATGGTTGTTCTGTTTGAAGTTCTTCAAGAAGTCTCCACACTGCTTTCCACAGTGCCTGAACTAATTTACATTTTCATCAGTACTTATTTTTGACTTTTC